TCCTGTAATAGTGTGGTTATGTGGACCACCTTGAAGACCAGGGAAGACAGCTTGATTAATCTTGTCTTCAAAATCATACAAAACCTTTCAAAATAACAAAATGAATTGACATGAAAATGTGTACATAAATTTAAAAACATTTTTGTCCAAATTTGTTGTAATTTTACCTCTTTTCCTTGTTTGTTAATTTCCTTAACACCTTTTCTGAAGAAAATCATGGCTCCACGAGGTCCGCGAAGCGATTTGTGAGTTGTGGTGGTTACAACATCTGCGTAATCGAACGGTGAAGGGATAACACCAGCAGCAACCAAACCACTAATGTGTGCCATATCTGCTAACATTACAGCTTTTTGCTTGTTACACACCTGACAAAAAAAAAGCTTTGAATCAAAACTCACTTCATGATTACAATAATCTGTTGTCTCTATTTATATGAGATTGAATTACCTTTCGGATGCGCGCATAATCATACAATCTTGCATAAGCACTTGCACCAGCAACAATCAATTTTGGCCTGAAAAGTGTAGCACTTTTCTCCATCTACAGATTCAAAATCAAAGGCTTATGTATATTGTAAGATTATAACTTACTACGATGCTTAATCGAAGAATTAAGAACCTGATCGTAATCGATGTAGCCAGTGCTTTCGTCCAATCGATATGGCATTGTTTCAAAGAAGATAGACACAGCAGATATCTTCTTGGTATCAGTCTGATACAAGAAAGTGTTCCACATCAGAGTTCCAAAATGACATCAACACAGAAACATTTCCAAAGTTAACTTGAAATTAAGTACCTGATAACCATGAGAAAGATGACCACCATGTGGAAGATCAAGTGCCATGATTCTTTCATGTGGCTTCAACAATGCAGTGTACACATGGAAGTTAGCAGGAGATCCAGACAAAGGTTGCACATTCACTATAACCACAAACAGAGCAAGAACTCATATCATTTCGTCGGTAAATTCCGCGGAATTAGCACTACTACAACTACATGAAAATGAGTAGTTTTACCTCCCCACTTCTCAGGGTCTAACCGAAAAGCTTCAAGAGCGCGCTTCTGACATAAAGTTTCCGCCATATCGATGAACCTTCAAGGGCAAAACAGGTTCTTGACTCGAAATCTTGTAACATAGATTGTTCAAGCAAAAAAATGAAAGATTGAAACATACTCATTTCCTCCATAGTATCTCGCACCGGGATAACCTTCACTGTACTTGTTAGTCATTACAGAACCAACAGCTTGCATCACCGAGACCGATGTGAAATTCTCAGATGGTATAAGTTCAAGTCCCTTGATGATAGCATTATTACAAACAATCATCACTCAGAAACAGAACAAGATTTTAAGAGAGACTACTAATAATCTAAAAGAGGAGAGTACTAAGTACTTAATTACCTTCCATTGTCTAGCTTTCTCATGCTCAATAATATCAGCAATCTCAGGATCAACTTCCTCTAATGGTGCGTTAAGCTGTTTTGGCCACTGCAACAGAACCAGAAGTCGAATAATTACTTCAGTCACAAGGAAACTATCAAGAACAAAGAGATAAGGAGATCTAAAGGGAGGAAATGAAGATTACAGTGACACGAGATCTCTCCTTGTCATCAACAGCTTCACTAGGCAACGAAGACTAATACGAAAACAATAGAAATCAGAAACACGAAAAACCGAAAAGTTTCGATCTTTTTTGATGGGGGAAAAAACAGAGGATGAGGGAGGTCGTTCATTACCATGTAGCATGAAGTGGATCTGAGAAGAGGACGAATGGGTTTATCAATTGAAGAAGAAAGTCTTCGAAGAGCCATAGCCATCGCCATTTTTTGCTAAACCTCTCTCTCTGTTTCT